CGCCGGGGGCCGGCGCCCCCAGCCCCGCCGGGCGCGGAGGAATGCGAGATCGCGGCTCCTCGGTCCTTTTGTCTGCCGGAGGGGGTGCGGGCCTAGGCCCGCCCGGGGGAAGCCTGAGGGCGGGGAGAGGAGCCGGTGGCTGCTGCAGGGCCAGCGTGTTCTTTAAATCAGTCTGAGTTTACTTTTTTTTTTCTTTTAATAGACATTTTTGAAAGGACTTTAGAGAGTGTAGTTTTAATTGGACTCCTGAGGCTGAAGGCGACACTTGGCCTGGGGGGTCTCTGGGCGTCACGCTCACCTGCCTTGCTGTGTGGGTCGGTAGGAGTGTAGAGGTCATCTTTTTTTTAGTACTTTGCTCGCTGATTTAATAACACAAAATTGCCGTCTTTGAAATGGTATCCTGTCTTCAGTACTGTCCCTCGCACGATCTTGTTTGTTCAGGGGCTTTCCCTTTAAAGGTGCCGTACCCAAGGTGTTTTAAAATTATATTTCTGATGGATCATCGCGCACTTCTAGACGGATAACCTCCGATGATTGCTGTCATGTTTGGTACACATTTTTGTTTGCTGTAACTGTGAGGTGTTTAGTGACGCTCGGTGTGAAAGTAGAGGCAACGAAGTACACTTAATGTAGGAAGCAGGCCCCGCTCAGAGCAGCAGTGTGACTTAGTGAGCGCTGGAGAGAAAGCCTCATTTGGGAATGACAGATCAGGGAGCACTGAACTGCTAGATATGTTTTAAGATGTTCCTTTTTTTTTTTTAAAGGAAAGAGAGTTGTCCTTTGTCTCACAGTATCGGTGCTTTAGTGTGGGAAGGCTGCCGCTTACTTGAGTTCTTCCCTGATTGCAGTTTCCTGGAGCCAAGGTGTGGTAGTGCTGCTGCTTCCTTTGGCAAAACCAGTTATTTTGCTCTGTAATGCATTTGATTTTAGAGGGAGTGCACTTTACAGTGGAATAACATGGAGATTGATTAGAAGGAAAGGAGGAGTGCAGGTAAATCTGTTGTCCCTAATATTTCTTTACTGAAAAAAAATTAATGATGAGAAGTCTAACTCTGTAGGTCCATCTGTTATCTTCAGAGTATCAAGGGTAAGCAAAGTTGTCAACAAGAAGCATATGGCAGTAGGGAACCACCCTTCAGAGAACTTTAAAAAGATAAAATTGCCAAAACTAAAAATATATGCTAAGGTATTAATATAACGTTCCAATTTCAGAAATTAGCCAGTTTACAGCTACAGGACTCTGGCACACTGCTTCTCAACAAAGAAGTTCTGTGATTAGAACAAATTTTTCTTTGCTGTTCAGAGGTGTTTCTCCCAAACCAGCACTTACAGGGAGAGGCAGTTGCTGGGCAATCAAGTGATTTATTGCAGCTGGGAGGCAGGAAGAAGGTGCTGGACACCTGGGGGAACTGAATAGGTGGATGTCGATACCATGTCTAGGGGACTCATCTCTGTTTGCTGTGCTTTTTAAGAAAATTAAGATATTAAGTCATGCAGTACTTGCATGGATAACTACTGAATTATTAACAAGTGGCTAGAGTAAAAGGTAGGTACATTGAATTTAAAACATTCCACTGAACAAACAGCAGGCTTCTGTTAATTTAAAACAAATGAAAATTGTTCTTTTGAAAAATGAATTTTGGATTCCTACTAGTATAGTAAAATATAGTGCCTCCCTTTTCAGTTCTAGCTAGTAATATGTGATTATTGTTACATTAACTCCCTAATGATCTCTTTCTTGTTTGTGTTCATTTTAGTGAGAGTATTTTTTTTAAAGCTATGTAATACTGGTTTCTGTCGATTCACAATAAGTCCCATTTCTTAATTGCTGGTTTTGCTGCAACTTGGTAATATAAAATTAAACAGAGAAAATGCCATGTATGAATTAATATCTTGTAAAAATTGAATGCATTTTCTGTTGCTTTTGATGCTGTTTTCTAAGATTCAGTGGGCTTAGTTTTTTGTTGGTGGTGTTGCCTCTGTTGGAGAAAAATATTTAGAAGGCAATTTTCTGCAGTCAGTAATAATAAGGCATCTCTAATCAAGCACGTTGTCTTAAAATGACTCAGAAGTTGTCGTCAGTGCTGTTCTGAGTTGCTGCTGACCTTTCCAGAAAAGGAGAGTAAGTGAAGATACTGATACAGGAAGCTTTCTGGCAGCCACGTGACTTGCCAGTGATAGCAAAACATTGCAGAATAGGTTGTAGAGCGAGTTCTTAGTTCAGACTGCAGTGGCTACTTTTATCATTATCTTGTGTTTCTGCTGTTTGAGGAGCTGGGATCATCACTCTGACGGAAAGATGCGTATCGGTTAAGTACCTTTTCCTCATCTCTCCACAAAAGCTCTCCTGATTGCAACAGTAATTTCACAAGGTAATGCGGAGGCACTTTTGAATATCATTATTTGATATTGAATATTGTGTCATTGTGTAATGGAGGGGGGTTGCATTTGACGCTGATATCTGGAAGCTAGCTTTACTGAAGTTAGGGGATTGATTACAGGAGCATGTGCGCTGGCCTGAATTGCACTTGGGGCCTAAATCAGTTCCCCTTGAAGCTACCTGGCAGTGTTGTTATGGAGGTCTTGTGATGAAGGAAGACCCTTAAAAAAGCAGTAAGAGGACGTATTGGCAACAAGTGTGTTGATCCAAGTATGGTTTTGCTCCAAACGAAAGAGTAATGGCATATGCCCATTTTTAAGTGTCTCTAGAAAGTCTGTTATGTTACTGTTATGTAGTTTGGAAGTCTGAGAGTTTACGCATTACTGTTTAGAAGATGGCATGCTTTCCAGTGAGTATTTAATCCAGTCAAGCATGCTCTGTACAGTAAGCGATGCAGAAAGCAACGCACATTTGCTTTGAGGAGCTTTACAACTATCAAAAGAGAGCACAGAATGCCTTTTTGCAGATCCAGAGGCGGGTTGTTGTTGTAATTGAGCATTTAAGAGGAGAGGAGATGAATATATAAAGTAGAAATTGTACAGAAACTGAAAATGGCTTTTAATCAGTGCTGTCATGTGAAAAACTGCATGCAGATG